ATTTAGGCTTGTTAGTTAGAAGGGACTTACACTTTACTGAATGTGTGATTGACCGCAAAGTGGGGAGTCGCCTTATTGGGATTGATTTTATTTGATATCGTATCACAATGTTGTTAGCTTAAAGGGCCTTACCTTTCATTAGACTTGAGTCTTTGATGGGGTATCCATCCATAGTCCTTGGCTAGAAGGGTCTCGCGCTCTACTAAATGTGAGCTTGGCCACAAATGGGTGAGTCTCTTTTAAGGGTTAGATTTTATTTCATATATTAATAAAATATTGTTACCTTAGATGGGGTTCGCCTTTTGCCAGACTTGAGTCTTTACAGGGTAATCATTTAGACTGGTTAGTTATAGGGAAATTGTGCTTTACTAATTGTGATCTTGGTCGCAAAGGGAGAGTCATCTTCTTTTGCTAGAATTTTCTTTTAGCAACATGAGTTATCCTTTGTTACAGTTGAGATGAACTCAAGTGGTCTTGTGGATGATTTTGTAGGATTCTCTTGAAAAGTAATAGTAAGGGCGAGTGAGTGCAGAGATTGATAGGGTAAATAGTAATCATTTATAGTGTAAAGTTTCAAATTGAGAGAATGGTTTATATTTCTAGAGTTCACATAACCCTTTTTACTTATAGAGGTGACTTATTTAAAGTAAAGAGGTGAACTCGTTAAGTGTATAGTGTTAGTCCACCTTGGGGCTTTAACCCTCCTATAACTTGTCAATCTTGCAACTTTTTAACTTGATCTTGAGTCAGGATTACTTTGAGTCTTAGACTCAAGTAAGTCTACCCCATTTATTTTTGGCCAAGTATTATTGTAAGTTATTAGCCAACTATTTTTAGCAAGTATTATAGCCGATCCCACATAGTGGGACAAAAGCTTGATGATGTCGTGATTGTTGTATTATTGTAAGTTAAAATTCCACATGTGTGTCTCATCACTTGCCTAAGTTTGAAGTTGGCTAACTCCAAACTCTAATGAGCTCTTCTAAGGTCAATGTAATAGGGTATTTTCCATTAATGCTTTTTTTATGGGACCTATAGCGATATTTGACTTTCCCAAGTGTGATTGAAAATAGGTGAGTTCCCTGAGTATACTCAGAAGAAAGGGGTGAGTTCCTCAATTATACTTGGAAGGAAGAGGTGAGTTACCCAACATATTCAACATATTATTTTACATATATTTATCCTTTATTTCTTTTAATTTTCTTTAAGAGAGGATCATTTTCACGAGTTTAAAAATCACCTGAAGGGTTCTTCATATGAAAAGACTTTGAAATATTTTATTAAGATTGCATGGTGAATACAATATAAAAGTACATATGAGTAGGGCCTTCTCTTATGCGTAGAAGGTTCTTGCACCTCAAGTCCTTACCACTTTTTTCCCTACACATTTGTGACTTGTAGGCCTTCGACTACACCAAGTTTCCCTCATAGTGCTAGAACTTAATTGCTACATGGTAGTTTGAGACCATGGCCTTAAAAGTATTCAATAATGATTGCCAAAGATGGCATTGGAAGTGGCGAATACACATCTACTATGATGAACTCAGCCATTACTACGTATTGAAGTTTTCCCTCTCCCCAAGCATCATTAAAAGGATGGCCACTCATTGATCTATCTTCCTTAATGAAGTTGACTAGGGCATCCTCTACTATTTGCATTCTGGCCATAGTTGCCGAGTTAACCTTTCCAAGTTGGGGGTTGTTTGAGACTTGCCCAGCGTGATGTCTCCACTACGTCCCCTTTGTGAGTGGCTGACACCACTCAAGCTAGGTGAAGTGCTTGAGTTGAGATTGACTCATTTTTTTTACTATCCATGGGCACCTTCCCAAGTCAGCTAAGATGAGATCCTTTAACTTCCTGAGCTTTATTAGATCCTCCACTAGGTTCTCGAGTGCTTGCACTCATTGTTGTCATGCTCGTGATCCTTAGGGAGTACATAGTACCTAGAGGTATCCCTTGCATGCGCTCCCATCCCCATGGACGCATGATACTTGAAGAACTTCTTGTTATAAATGGCTTCCATCAACTTGGCCATAGATACATATTGTGGGGTGATAGACTCTCCTCCGAGTACTGGTGAGGCGCTAATGGTTCCTCGTCTATTCACCCTACTGGTGGGTTTGTGATCCTCAGTGGCCTCGCTGGTAGTGGCATTCTTTGGTGGTGGTAGAGAAGGATCTACGAGAAATGCGGTCTTCTTTCCATCCTATGTTCCAATGGATGACTCTGGTCAAGTTCAAGGGACCAAGGATGATCATGTTTTGCGGGGGTCTCTGGGGTGAGTATTGAAAGAATATTTGTGGATGTGGGTGAGGTGTTAATGTGGTTGTTGGTGAGCTCCAATTACTCCGCTAGCATTTATGGCAGTTGTAAGCTGAGCTCATACCTAAGTCGCCCTTTTCTCAGGCCCTGGGTTAGAGTCGTCTGAGCAACAGTCGACTCTAGGTCCTTCGCTTTCAGCTTTTCCTCCTGGAGCTTCACGATGAACTTTCTCAAGGACTTATCGGGTTCTTGTCTCATCCTTAGGTGAGCTTGCAAGCTCTTAAGCGATTTTTGGACACTTAAACATCCTCTTGAATTTGACAAAGGACGTGATAATTTTTAATGGGAGGTGCGATTGTGCAAGAACAATCAGAGGGCTGATTCGTTAAAGGTGGTGAGAAATACTTAGTATTTTAGCACATCTTTGTTTGTTGTTGTATTATGAAGTGGCCGACTCAAAATTATGTTATGCAGCCGACAAAATTTGACTTTATTCTATGTGACACCAAGTGAGACATTTTGAATTTTGCTGCCAGCTTGGCTCATGTGATCTCTCTGACAAATGCATTTGTCTATTGTGGGTCATTCCTCCCTCACTTTATCCTTTTTGTTTTTTTTTTTTTTGGGGGGGGTTTTTTTTTTTTGGGGGGGGGGGGATTTTCTTCAGTTATGGAGTAGTAGGTCCCATTGATGCCAATTGCCTAGGTCGCACCCTTCAAATCACCGACTCCAGGGATCCTCCTGATGTGTTCACCTTTCGAGCCTCCCTTTGGACTCGCTCCATTGCTACTTGAATCATCCTTGTGTCTGTCTCCTTCATTTCCATCAAATTATGCTGAGTTGTAAAGTTTTGGTTCTCCATATTCATTGATGTCTCCTTATTGTGATGTCATACGTATGTAGTGTTCGGTTTCTGGTCAATAGCATCGGTCCACACTCATCACATCTTTTCAGATGTTGGATTCAAATTTGCTTGTAGATGATATTTTTACTCTTTTCGTAAAGTTAACTATAATGTCATAACAAGAGAAAGGAGAGACGGGCAAGGAGAATATATATGTAATTTAGTTAGTCTCTGTGATAAATAAGAATAACATAAATATAAAAAATTCCTTTAAACCCCACATTTATAAGATTGAGAAGGTTACAGGAGAAGTTACGCCTAGGAAAATAATAAAGTAGTATAAGATTTGTCTTTTACAAACACTTGGATTGAAACGAGTGGGCACACATGGACAATCATATCTGATGCAGCCTTGGGGGACCCGGGCAAGTGCCTCTGACAAGTGTCTTCAACGAGTGCCTCTGCCGAATAATTTCTTAGGCTAGGTTTCAGCTAGGTTGGTTTAGTCACTATTTTTGAGTTGGAAAAGATGAGCATCTCTTGCTGAGAGGTCAAGTGGTCCTCTAGAGGTGTGCACCCTCACGAGGGCAAATTTTTTTGGGGTTCATCCTTCCTATGATGAGTGACCTATCAAGTGCACTTTTGAGGTGTCTCTCTTGGTTGTGCTCTTTGAGGTGAGTGCCTCTCTTGGTTGGGTCCTCTAAGATGAGTGGCTCTCTTGGTGTGGAGCTTCTTTGAGGCGAGTTAACCTTGTCTCTAATCCTTCACTGAGTTTTGTTGGTTCCAGTGGTGCATCTAGATGTTGATGCCGCATACTGTGGTAACAATCAATTTTTGGAATATAAGACCAAATCTTATGTTGAATTTCTCAACAAGATGAATAAGATTTTCATGACAATCCAATCTGGCCGTCATTGTGGTGGCGCTCCTACAATTTCTCTCCTTGCTCCCACCAAGTAATTCATATGATTACCATGATCAATGTTTAGAAAACTGAGTCAATCTCAAATTGACTTTCTCATCTAAGAAGATGAATAAGTTATACAACAAGATAAAAGTGGCTGTGGTTATCCCCGTTCTATTTTTATATCTACAACGAGAAGTAGATTTTGAAAGAATTTCTAACAATGCAAATTTTAATGCACGTGGTTTATGAAATATAACTCTCAAAGCAAACGACTTCCTAATATTATTATACTTAGATCATATCACCCAAAAAAAAGACGTCCTTTGATATCAGGCTATGGAGAGGATAAATCTACCAGGCCTTTAACAACTGTACTATTGTAATATAAGCATCTTGAAAGAACTGCCAAAGAAGGCTTGGGCGGAGACGAGACAGAACAGAGACGGAGAGAATTTAGGAAAAGGAAAGGTAATTCTATTCATTCAAGTGATGATACAGAGAGCTTTTAAATAAGCAAATACAGGTAAAGAAGTAAATAGTGTAAGTACAGTTTTTAAGGTAAATGAACCGCATGCTAACACATCTTATGCATCAGCAAGATATGGAGATCCCCTTGCTAACGAGGATGATTTCTATTTTTTTTGGTACAAATTATCCCCTTGGTCATTGCATCAATCCATAAGCCCTCACTTCGAGATATTTCCCAAATTAGGCTCTTGAACAAATAATTACCTAATAACATTAATTCTACAAAAATTATCAAAATTATAATTTTTTTATATAATTACAAGGCATTTAACATTGAGACCTGTTAATTTTAAAGTTTTGCCTTGCAATATCCCACAATTAATAATTTCTCAAGGTAGGCAATTTTAAGAACCTGGATTAATAAATTTTGCATTGGTTTCGGATTCAATAGCTTCTTGCTACAATTAGCTAAAAATAATTTAAGTTTATCTTCATTCTAAAATACTTGTTATATGCAGGTCTGTGAGAATCATCCACAAGGTGTTGTCTTGGTTAGATTCAAGGATCGGAAGGATGCCCTAAAGTGCATTGAGCTGATGAATGGAAGATGGTGCGTATCTGAACTCTTTAATTTGTTTTTCTTTCTCAAATTTTCTCATTTTATTAGATGTTCGTACTATTCCATCCATTTTAATATTAGAACCACATAACATTTTTTCCCTTTTCCTCTTCCACCAGTACTGTAGTTGCTCCTGCATGTTTCATTTTAAGTTCTGTAACGCTACAGTAAAATTCTTGTTCTTTGTATAATTTCCTAGGTTTGGAGGAAAGCAAATACGTGCAAGTGAAGATGATGGTACAATTAATCATTCTCGCATTCGAGATTTCGATGCCGATGCTGAGAGATTGGAGCAGTTTGCTTCAGAACTTGAGGCTGAGTGATGAATAAACCTGGTCAAACTGATACAATGAAGGTTTAGGTTTCGTTTCGGACAACTTTTTCATTGCTTTCTAAAACGATTTTTTAGTACAAAAGTTTCTAATTCAAGAAATTTTTAACTAAAATACTGTTTAAAAAGCATTAAGAAAGCTGTCCCAAATGAACCGGTAGCATTCGATAGGGTTACTGCTTAACCTGATCAATTCTTGCATTTTCTTGGTAGGGTTAAAGAGTCCTTTTGCAATGCAAGGATTTATATATAAACCCTTGGGAGTCTTGCAATGTTGGCATGCATTTAGTGGTTATTTTAAGCACCTGAATGCTGTAAATTACTAAATTTTAAAGAGATTATTGTCTCTTTGTGCTCTGATTTTAAGTTAAATTGTCACCCAATTGAAGTAAAGGGGGTTCGATTCTGTATAAAGTGCATTAGTAGAATATCAAGGATTTTGCTGAATGGTATGGATTAGAAGATTTTATTGAATCATTTTGTGGTTGATTAGCAGCTACAGGTATTTGTCTAAGGTGCTCTTTGCAATCGGTGTAAAAAGAAATGCATTTTTGAATGCAAGCATAACAGGATTATAAGCAAAAGAAATGTATTTTATCTATTTGAAATTGTTTGATTAGATGTAAAGTTTACATGGTGAATGTTATTGTTGTTGTTGTTTGTGAAACAATGCAATAGATCTCCATAATCCTCTCATGTGGAGGAGAGATTATTACGCGCGGAGTCTGGACATTAGATGTGTCTGAATTTTGTGAATGTACACAGTAAATACACAACAAAAAACAAAATTGTGTATTTGCTATGTATTTATTATGCAACCTCATAAAATCTGGACGTATCTTCTGTTCGGAATCCGGACATAATAATTTATCCATGGAGGGGGTTGGGAAGGGAGGTATTAGGGTGATGGGAAGGGAGGGGAGAGTAACAATGACTTGACGATAGAGGTGGCACAATGGGATTAAATGATGTGCAATACGAGGTGTTTCGTCGATAAGCGAGGGTTGTGGTGAGGTGGTAGGATCTAGTGAGGGGAAGTGCATATGATTTGGAATTCATTTAACTTGCACACTTAGAAAAAAAATAGAAAGCATGAAAATGAAATGCAATATGTTTATCACCTTATACTATCAACCAAATAATAAGGTATAACTTACACATATAAGCCTCCATCATTATATGGATGTTGCTCTCATTAAGGGTGATGTTATGCTTTTCCATTGGTTTGGTTTGACAATTATTGTACTAAGTCATGTAATATATATAGCAATAATTGTATTGCATACCTATCCCCATTCCTGATTTTTTTTTTAGCTGGGGTCGTAGGCAGAGAGAGAGAGAGGGCTCTAATGCAATGAATATATAATTTTTTGTGTGTACGTTATGTAACCTGACGTGTCCAGAGATTAATAATCATGCGTCACGTCACCTGAAAATCGGTATTAAGCACTTGATATTGCTTGGTATACATTCGGATTTTTAGTTTTTTGTCCGGACGTAATAATTACTCGTGAGAGGGGGCCTGATGCAATGAATATATAATTTTTTTTTGGTGAGAGAGTGGCTGAGGCTAAGATGTCTTTTAGTTAGTAAGGATGAGGATGTGGCAGCAGAAACATACAAAATAAGGTGAACACTATTATATTTCTCTCTTAATTCTTATGGATCAATGAGGATTGAGAATATTTACTATTGTCTGTAAATTACATTCAAAATAAGGTGAACCTACTCGGCATCATTGAACTCGTCCTAAAGCTAGATCATCAAAGGTCATTTAGCGCCTTATCCAATCAATCATGGGGCTATGCACGGGTAACAACCAGAAAAATAAAAACTTTTTTAAAATATGAAATTTTGAATTCTTATTTGAACTAGAGCGCTTCAATGTTCTGCTTGTGAGCACTGCGATGCTAGGTTTGAGAATACAGTCGTGCCAAAATTAACTGTCACGGTGTTTGAGTCTCTCTTTCTATAGTAATTTTGAATTCTGCATGCAATGCTATGGAGTTGGGCTTGAGCGCTACGATGCTGGGCCATTAAAAGCATTTTTAAATATATTTTATCCTAAATATCTATGTCATTTCACCCCACCGTCTCCCTCGCTCAATATCTTGGCAGGAAGAAGCTAAAGAAGGCAAAGGAGGAAGGGAGGGAGGAGAGAGAAACTTTTTCAGGGCCTTTTAATCTTCCATTCTTTTTACAAAAATTATTATAAGTTGTAAGTAGCTATCCTCTTACTTTTATCTTCGATGACTTTGATTTCTATGAATTTTATCTTTCCTAAATCCACCAAAAATACATCATATCCTAATTTTGTAAGCTTTTATCATATAATTTTTGATATATTATCGATTTGATTATTCTGAAGAATATAATATGATTTTATTATATTTTCCACTGGTTAAATTTATATAGAACTTTTTGGGTAAAATGAATAGGAAAAATGTATACTAAAAATTTATAGAAAATAATGTACTGTGATTTGATGTGATAATACTGAAATATAGTATATACTGAAGGGATTGATAGGACTGATATGTACTGGAATATGATACTGATCTGACTAAAAGGATGTGGTGGACTGATTTGGCTGAAAAAACATATTGATTGATATATGGTAGATATGATATAATAATCCCCACGTGGTAATATCAAGATTCACTGATTCATTGATTGTGAGTCAAAAGTAGTTGAAGACTAATTAGAAGTTATAAAGTGTTGGGGCCCACTAATCTACATGATTCAAGAGGAGCTATAAGAAGTACACTGATTGAATGTTATAAGGGGTGACTGATTGAGAGTCATAAGTATATGAGCAAGATACAAGATACCCTATTTTGAATATATAATATAATACTGATTACTGATTTTGTATACTACTTACTAATACTGATACTGTATGTACATTGAGCTTACGAACACTTATTTCTTTTACTGTTTACAATTACTGAATACATATATTGATATTATTGTATAAATGATAGATTGACGGGAATGATTGAATTATATGATTGAATTAATTACTGTATAATTGCTTACAATTATAAAAAATTTTTTATTGACTTTTATACTTTTTACGTGATTTTATGTAATTTCTGATAAATATAAGGAGCCTACAACTTGAGGTTAGGCAATGATATTAATTTAGTTCTCTTTCACTTTCTTTAGTTTATGTGTATTCTTTTGTATAAAGGCTATCACATATATCGTTTTGGACCCTACATACATAATGTAAATATTGACTACTATAGTAATATGAATGATATTTTTCGATGCTTATTTATTATCTTTAATATATTTTTTTATTGTAATACAATTAATCAACTATGGATCTCTATTGATCTGGTTGTAAATCAAAATTGAATCTTATGGGGAGAAAAATAAAGATAATAAATCAATTAAAAGATAAAAGAAGAAAAAAATATCCACTTTAGATTTCAATGTGTGACAACATGTCTGTTTAAGAGTCATTTAATTAAATAAAATTTTTATTCTTTTTATATAATCTTTTTTATAGCAAAGAAGCATTTTTATATTTTTGTTTTTTGGCATTTTTTGGTTTGTGAGATTTTGATCACTGAGCATTTTTTTATATGAATTTGCAAATAGGGTTTTGTCATATAATATACGTTTTTATTGTAGATGATATTTTGTTACATATACAAAATTAAAAGGAAGATTTACATTCATATCATCATATACTATTCTAATTATATATTTAACATCTGAAATTTTAATATTACATATATATCATCCATGATTTATTTTCATATTAAATATAAGTGGTAGAAATAAAATATATGAGTGACAATAATAAAATATGAGTTACGTATTTGATATTAAAATAATATAAGATTAAATAATGTAATATAATATTTTAAGTATCAAATTTAAATAGACATGATACTGAAGGGTACTGCATGTTACATTCCCATATCAAAAAATCTTACGCCGTCAATAGGCCAATTATTCCAGTCGAATTAGTTTGTCACAAGCTTATACATTTATAATATTGGCGGAGGTACGAGGATAGAGGCAAACATCCGAGACCTAATGTCAGGTGAGGGTGCACATTCCCGCAAGAAGGACCAGCACGCCTGTACCACAGCCCAAGCCGCACTTCGCCCTAACATAAACAATTTCCAACACAAATCCGCCACCGCCAACCTCCGAATACAGCGGAAAAGGACGCGCACGCCCTCCAAAACATCGGCTTCCAGTCGACGCAATCTATCCTCGGCGTGGAGGTCAATGGCTACCTACGCGTCAACGACACAAACTTGCTGCAGCGGTCAGCATACAACTACCTCTAACTCTCCTCTCTCTCTCTTCGTTCTCTCCTCCTCTCTCCTGACCTCTCTCTCCTCTCTCTCTTTTGTAGGAATTGATTAACCGTGGCTGAGCAGCAGCCGTTCAAGAGGCTACACTGGCGGCGTATCGGCTTTTGATCGCGGAGGCACTGGCGAGCATGGGGCACAATGTGGCCTCCGGATTCCGGCGGGTGGCCGGCGTCCATCTCAGCATCAAACCATCACCGGAGCGCGTTCGTCGGCGATCTCGTGTTCGCACGTGGGACTCCCCATCGAGGCTAGCAAGGCCCTCAGTCTGTTCCCTTTGATTGCCAATGATATGGAAACTAGAAAGATCTCAGGATGGTCGCCCATGATTTTTTTTTTTTTCTTAGTAAAATAAAAATTTTAACTATTCTTATTCATCTTCAATTAAACTACAGCCGCTAAATTTTTAAAAATAAAAAAATTATTTTATTTCATATATTAAATATACATTTCACGCTTAATAATTGATTTGTATTAAATCATAAAAATAAGGAACCTAATAGTAGAGAATTTTAAAATATTCAGACTTTTTTGTTCTTTGTAAAAAAAAAAAAAGAAGAGAAACCATTTTGATCATTGCTTCTTATTTATTTCTCTTATAATATTTTAATTGAAGAGTATTTTGGAATATTTCTTAAGAATTTTTATGCCAAATTAAATTTTTATTATATAAAAATAATAATTTAATTTATGCTGACGCTTTTTTGAGCAGGTGTGGAAGTGTGCCTGTGGAAAATGAATGAGCCAACCATGAAAAAGGAAGCCCTCTTATCAACATCAAAAGTCGTAATTTTATCAAATATGAACGTTCCTGAAATTGCCAAAAATGCTGTATCTGCTTTTAGAAAGTATGCCAAGTTTGTATGATGGATCTCTCTATTTCCTTATATCTTTTTTATTATTATTATTATATGATGATAAAATATGACATAATAAAATCTAGCTATAAAAGAGATATATACTATTTATATTTATTTAATAGTATGAGATAAAGTTAGCTCGTGAGCAATCATTCATAGAGAAAATAATTATAATTTAAATAATTATTATAATTAAATAATAATAAATTAAAAGAAGAAAAATGCACTTAATTAAAAAGAGAACTATAATTTTCTAATATTTTAAACTATTTGTACTTAAAATTTAGAATACTAATATATTTTAAATACAATTTATATTAATATTTTTTAATGAGCTGACTCACAAGCTAACAAGTTGAGTTAGACTTGACTCAAACTTAGCTCATTAGCTAATTGACTTCGTCTCATGAGGTATTTATCAAATTGAATCTGAATCACCTCACGAATCAGCTCGACTCACACCCCTAATTTTGAGTACACAAGTCACGCAATCAACTCTTATAATGAACACCCTAGATAATTTTGTAGTGTTCTCAATAATCTCAAAAGACTAACGAACTGATTAGTGTGCTGCGAATAATCTTAGAAATTTTGGCTTAATTTAGGATGACTTATTGATTTTTAAAGAAAATTTTTAGTACAATTTCTTTTTTTTACTAAAAAGCTGCTTTAAAAGGCAGTAAGAAAGCCATCTCAAACAAAATCTTTATTTGAATTAAGCTCCCTTCTTTCATTCTGGAGCTTTGGTTGCTTTTCAAGAACATATGAAAAATAAATCTTAATGCTTCTTGATGTAAAACTAGTTTAACAAAAAAATCTATGAACACACCAAAAATTTCTCCTCACTAATGATCATTACTGGGGACTTATTTCTAACTAAATAAGCATTTATTACAAAATTTTTCTGCTTTATTTGTTTTACAGATCTCCTCCCTTTTGTTAAGGGAGCATAAATAGAAACCTCAATAGAAATTTACCACCCCATCCACTGTAAAAGGTGGATCAATTTCTATCCTCACTGCTTTGCCTTCAGAATGTAATTGTGGTAATGCATTTGCATCCTTAGCGGAGGCTCCAGCTCCAGTCCAAATTGTAGCATGAGGCCATTCATTTTTAGAGCTTATCTTTTCGCCGTTGATGGATCCTATTCGCGCTTCGAGCGCCGCCAGGTTATCGGAGAATAGCAATGCGGTGAACTCTATCGGAACTTTCTGTTGCTGGTAAGCACCATAACTAGCAACAGATGTCACCCCATGGCTCCTTTTGTGAGCCAAGGTCACATGAGCCTTAGTTAGATTATTCTCCAATTCTTTGTCTTTAAGGAATACTTGGACTTCAGATTCTTTCTCAGCCAACTGAAAATAGTTTTTATGAATTAACATTACTTTTACCATAACATATAATGATATTCTGAAAAATATATGTAGGAGTTCAAATAGATATCTAATAGTATGAATCTTAAGCTAATAAGCATTGCTATACCTTCTCTAACAGAGTTCTAATCTCAAGTACAGGGAGTGTGACAGCTGCAAAAACAAGGTTGCCAAATCTCCTCTTCTCAGATTCTGGTGTTCTAATTCCCCCTTTTATGACATCTTTGAGTTGTTCAATGACTTGCTTGACAGCTATGTCAAACGGAACCTGGAAGATTGAAATTAAAAATTCATTAAAGCAACACGAGCTAAATCCTCATCAAAACTTAAGAGATTAAATGGAGTGACAAGACAAATGGCTTTTTTTGGATCTGTTCCGCAGATTTTGCTTTTAAGTAGGTGATTTGGCTAATCATAGTTTTTTAATTGCAATAATTCTATGATGGTCATTAATCACATTATATGCATACAAGATGTGTTATTAATTTTGGCTAACTATATGTTCATGAATTAATGCAAAAATAAATAATGTACTGCTTTTGTTCATTAAAAAAAGAATGCCATTATATTTCTGGATGAATTTATTTGAAATCAAATACTGTCTAAATAAAAGCCTGGTGTAATATGCTTTTGAAGATGGTCTAATAATAATATGACAGTGGCAAATGAACCAAATACAGTAGTCTCCAACAAATCAAACATAAATTTGTCAATCATCTACAAGTCGGGGTGACCCAACAAGAGAGTTTGTTAACAATAGAAAAACAAAGAGGCCTAATAAGCTGCGAGAGCACTTTAGTAAAGATGAGAGCAAGTTGTATTGATAAATGAATGGATGCTTATGAAAAGGTGATATTGAATCTTGATAAAAAAAATTAATGAAAAATGACTGTAAGATGAGGAGGAATAAACTCTATCATTCAACCAATAACATTTGCAAAGGAATGAGGAAGGAGGGCAGCAAGAGGCACAGGCTCCTATGGTCAATAAGCAAGAAGAAGGGCCTCTATGAAGCAAGGATTCATCGCGATAGGCGATGGTGACCAAATTGGAAGTTCATTCAAAACCCATTGGGTAGCCATTGTGGGAGACAGGTGCAATCCATTGAAAAACTAATAGCAAGAATAGAAGGATCTAAATTGGAAGCTAAAATAATTAGTAGCGCCATCCAAAGGCAAAGGAAGTGACTGAGTATGACGTTAAAGATGGCAAGAAAAATAGAAATTCACAAAAGACTGGAAAGAAGCTCGAGACAGCAACACCACAACACTAAGTACAGGAGGGACCTAGCACATGAGCCAAATGCAGATGCCACAAGGCGTCAATGAAATAGGTCACCTGAGTAAGTAGAACAAAGCATGCCCAAAGTTGCGAGAATGCCAAGACAAAGCAGATATATGAATCCGCAACATCATGCAAGTCTGAGCTCGGCCAAGTGCAGATCCGCATGCCAAGAGCTCAACATATAAACATGATTGTGGAAAGAGAACTTTGAGACAAATATATTTTTACAATAGATTATTTGTCCGTAATATGACTGTGTAGTATCTAGTATACTATAATACCCAAAATACTCAAAACAAATATAAGCATAAATTTAAGTACAATTAATTTAAAACTAAGTAATAGTTAATTAATTTCAGATTACAATTTCTAGAAATCCCACTTAGCGTGCATTCAACAACTAATGGGAATCTTATGGCTGGTATAAAAAGGATTGAGTCAGTGGAAATGTTAGTGTATTAAAAAATAATTAGATTTAAGCACTAGCATTATTTTTCCTTCCTTTCCCCACCCATCATTTCTCTGTTCTCTAGAGTTAGAAAGACTGGCTGTAAGCAGAAGCTTGGGATGCTGTGAGGGATTGCTGGAGCTGGTGTAGTTAGGATGCTATGGAGGATAACGTAAGCAAGAGAATGATTTTAGTTAAGGGAAAAGAAATTATTTAAGTTGTTGTCCGCTGAAAATGCTGAAAGTAACAGCTGAAGATACTGTTAGTTGTTGTCGGCTGAAAATTTTTTTTCATCATTAGATGAAGTGGCCAATCCAGATTTACAACTGGATAAAAAAAATATAACTCAAACAACATTAATGTTCGCTACTTCCTCATAATCAATTTCATAGATTTGAGTGAACCTAATCTAGCCTTGTACCATTCAATACATCTACGGTCTACCTTATATTTTAATTTGAACTCATTAGCATCCTACAAATTTCTTCCCATTCAGTAGAGTTGTAAATTTTTTGTCTATCATTTCTTTTAAAGATCTGGATTTCTTTATGAATGCTTCTCTCCATTAAAGCATCTCTAAAGCTTCTTGAATATTGTTTGGCATTTCAATGCTAAAAAGATATGACTGAACGTATGAAAATATAATCTATCATAAGCAACAAAGAGTTCAGATATTTTGTGAAAGTCCTTGCAGTTTTTCTGTGAGCAATAGAAATGTCCAGATTATCATAAGAATCAACATTATCTTATGAAGCGAAGTAGATTTAAGATTTAGCGGAGACTCTAGATTATGTCCTGCAAAATGCTTTGGTTTACCTTTTCAATTGAAATTTCATTTAGTCATGCATAGACAATTCCTTCATACCTTTCTCGTTGCTGTGTTTTTGGGAAGATTCAAAGTTCTTTTAATATATAAGGTTGATGCACGCAAAAATTTGGGAGAGGGCCCAAAATTTTTGCAAGCAAATGATACTCTTCCTATAACTTAAAAGATACTCAAAACATTACAAAAATTACATAAGATAAAGCAACAACAATTGCACAAAACAAAACACAACTTTAATATTATAAAAGGCCTTACAAACGACACATAAACTTTAACATAAACACCTTACAAACTTGGAAACATAAAAACACCTAAAGTTGCTTGCCAATCATTGCTTTGAGAAGAAGGATACTGGTGGAATGAAACTTGAGGAGAGACGAAAGAGATTAGAAGCCGAGACGGAAGAGAGACAAGCTCGCAAGCTTTCTCAAAGAGCAGAAGTAGTGGACAAAGCTCTCAAGCTTTTCCAAGAAAAACCTTCAGTTTTTCCATTCCAAAAATAACATTCTTCACTCTCTTAACTAAACTTAAAACATCCACAAATATCTCCTATATATAGGTATATAAGGGAAGCCAAACAACCACCTAAAACTCATTAAATACCTTAAATAAAAAGAGGGAAATGAATGGCCAACAACCACAAAACAATTCCCAAACGTTACAACAAAAACAGAGAAGGAAGTCCACGGAACCAAGCAGGGAACTGCAAAAACCGAGCAGCCCAGAACGGAACCAAGCAGAAGCAGGGAACCGCAGAACCGAACAGTCATCCACGGAACCGAGGAGCCAACCGTGAAACCAAAGGGGCAAAGGCACGGGAATTCTTCCCATCACAGGAAACCAACAGCCAACCGTGGGAACCAAAGGGCCAAGGCACGGGAAAGCCACCCAGCACAGGAAACCGAACAGTCATCCACGGGAATCCAAAGGACAAAGGCACGGGAAAACAGCCAGCACAAGAAAAAAAATAGACAAGGGGAGGAGAAGAGGCAAGTGAAGAAATCAAAGAGATAAAATGAACCAAATAAAGATAATTTATGAGCTGAAACATAAGTAGAAGAAGCTCATTAATGAGCTGATTTTAGAAGCTCACCAAAATTTAAACTCAACTTGTTTTGACCACCCCATTGCCTACATCATACTCCCCTACTTGAAAAACTCATCTCCCGATGAGTTCCCTTTTGCTTTCTTCCGAGGAGGCGAAGACGGTGCATCCAGCTCTTGAATCTTTGCTTCAAATTTCTTCAAAATTTTTTCTTGCTCTTTCTCGAATTGTTCTTGAAGATATTTCTTCCTTTTCTCGTATTTCTCATCACATAAGAACATGTGATATTGAAGTTTATATAATTTGTCTTGTAGCGGATCTGTTGAATCTCCTTCAGTCGGAATCCATCTGTCCATCGGAAGAGGGACTTCAATATCTTCTGGTTTGCTTTCTTCTTTGACCGAATCAATCTTTTTGTCCTTTCCATTTTTCTAAAAGACTCAACAAAATTTAAATTACTTGACACCACAGACTTACACAACAACTACTACGACTCACCAAGACACACACAACTTGCTCTGATACCAAATTTGATGCACGCAAAAATTTGGGAGAGGGCCCCAAATTTTTGCAAGCAAATGATGCTCTTCCTATAACTTAAAAGATACTCAAAACATTACAAAAATTACATAAGATAAAGCAACAACACTTGCACAAAACAAAACACAACTTTAACATTATAAAAGGCCTTACAAACAACACAAACTTTGACATAAACACCTTACAAACTTGGAAACATAAAAACACCTAAAGTTGCTTGCCAATCGTTGCTTTGAGAAGAAGGATACTGATGGAATGAAACTTGCGGAGAGACGAAAGAGATTAGAAGCTGAGACGGAAGGGAGACAAGCTCGCAAGCTTTCTCAAAGAGCAGAAGTAATGGACAAAGCTCTCAAGCTTTTCCAAGAAAAACCTTTAGTTTTTCCATTCCAAAAATAACATTCTTCACTCTCTTAACTAAACTTAAAACATCCACAAATATCTCCTATATATAGGTATATAAGGGAAGCCAAACAGCCACCTAAAACTCATTAAATACCTTAAATAAAAAGAGGGAAATTAATGGCCAACAACCACAAAACAATTCCCAAACGTTACAGCAAAAACAGAGAAGGAAGTCCACGAAACCAAGCAGGGAACCGCAAAAACCGAGCAGCCCAGCACGGAACCAAGCCGGAACCGCAGAACCGAACAATCATCCACGGAACCGAGGAGCCAACCGTGAAACCAAAGGGGCAAAGGCACGGGAATTCTTCCCAGCACAGGAAACCAGCAGCCAACCATGGGAACCAAAGGGCCAAGGCACAGGAAAGCCACCCAGCACAGGAAACCGAACAGTCATCCACGGGAATCCAAAGGACAAAGGCACGGGAAAACAGCCAGCACAAGAAAACAAATAGACAAGGGGAGGAGCAGAGGCAAGTGAAGAAATCAAAGAGACAAAATGAACCAAATAAAGATAATTTATGAGCTAAATTAAGTAGTAGGAAAGCATTTATGAGCTGAAACATAAGTAGAAGAAGCTCATTAATGAGCAGATTTTAGAAGCTCACCAAAATTTAAACTCAACTTGTTTTGACCACCCCCTTGCCTACATCAAAGGTGATAGGAATGGAGTAAGAGTTAATGGCAAGAATACAAAGATCCAATATTTTTTTGCTAGAAAATTGATATTCATGGAGTGAGTTGAAGTTCTTCCATTGAATAAGAATTTTGTGGTTAAAAGCTTGATTCTCAAATAATCTTACAACTATGATGCTATAAATTTTTTGAGGGCTGTGAGAATAACATTTGTACTCTTATTAATAAGGAGAGTAGCCAAAAAAAAAAGAAGAAGAATTTTGCAGCTTTTGGGATCAAGCTTGTTGGTTTGATATGAAAGAAGAATTGAAATGAGTTAGGTCATGTGACAGACTTGAGTAAATTTGGTGAGAGTTTTAAACTTCAAATTCTTAATGGCTTGTGATTAGTGAGATAAATACCAATAAAGACAGTCTCCCTCTAAAAATATTGGAACAATGTTTCTGATTGGGGGGGGGGTTCATCCCCCTATATTTGGCCCTTTGGTTTCCCCTTTGTGGCTCTTCGGTTCGTCCCCTTGGCTCCATCCCGTGGCTGGTTCCTTCCCCAGTTCCCCCCCTTTGGATGCCTGTTCTGGTTCCCCTAGCTACCTGTTTCGGTTCCCTGGGCTGCCCATTTCGGTTCCCTGGGTTGTCTGTTCCGGTTCCCTGTATCTAGCTTATTCACGAGTTCAAAATCGAACACGAATCAAGCTTTTATCGAGCTTCTTATCGAGCTTAATGTCGAGCTTGTTCACGAACTTCAAATGATGTTGTTCGCGAACATAAATGAGCCGAACACATTAGTGTTCAAGTTTGTTTATTTAAGAATCGAGTATTTAAAATATTGTTCAAGTTTGTTTGTTTAGTTAATTAAACGATCTCAAATGAGCTTTGATCGAACCGAACAACGAGTAGCTCGTCAAACGTTTGGTTCTCTTGCAGCCCTACCCTTGGTTGCCTTTTTTGATTTTCTGTGTGACTCTTTGGGTGTTGTTCCTGGACAACCCCTTGGCCTTCTGTTTTTCCCTTTTTAATTGGTTTAAATGAGGATATTTTGGGCTGTTTGGCTGCCCTATTTCCCCTATATATATATATATATATATATTTGATGTTTTGTAATAAAAAAGAGATACTTTTGGTGATAATTTTTGGAGCTAAACATGAGGGTTTTTATGATAGCTTGCTAGCTATGCCTTTTCATTCGTCTTCCTCCAGGAAAACTTGCGAGCTTGTCCTCTCCTTCGTCTCGGCTTCTTACCTCTTTCTTCTCTCCGCAAGTGTTCACCTCATATGTATCTTTCTTATCAATAAAGCAATGCAAGTTTAGGAGTTTTTATTTTAAGATTGTAATCGTCATTTTTATGTTATAAAATTGTTGTATTTTGTTATTTCAAGTTATAAGGAAGAGTGTTTTTGTTTCTTTTTGTGACCAAGGGTCTCCCACTTGTTTTGGGAGCCTTTGGTTGCATCAATTTCTGAAAATGATTCTTCGAGCAATCTTTAGGTGCCTAGTTTCCTTTTCACTATCCCATGTTGTGAGTAATATTAATACAAGAGCTCTGTTGAACATCCTCTTTTTCCAAGCAGAAAAACTCTAATGATGGAATTAAAGTTTTCTCTACCATTAAATTATAGTAAGAAATAAATAAAATATGTTATCTAATTTTGCATCAAATGTGGCTTAACATTTGCTGAAATCCAAAGTTGGTAATCCACGACCTGTGGTCGTTTTTATTTTTCTTTGATCAGCTCATCTTAAATTTGTATTTGTGAACCCTTGACCCTAAAACAACTTACATCATGGACAATAGGCTTGACGAACTAATTTCTATTCCGTACGTAACATAATATCAATCTCAATCATCAAATCATACAAGCATGACATGCATCTTTGATCTAAATTATAATTCATATATAAAATGATACACATCTACATCATCTAAAACCATTCATACTGCTTTCCTCATATTTCCAACCAATGTGTTGACAGTACTTGTTTTTCTCTACAAAAATTTCTAATGATCTAAATTATAATACCTATATAACAACTGTCACTGGCCAATACCGTTGATTTCCTCCTCAAACTTCCGACTAATGTATTGACAATACATATTGTACTACAAAAGAATTTCCAACAATAAAAAGAATAAAACCAGTTTCCATAGTAAAGGCTCATTTTCAAAAAGCTTTTTTTTTTTTAACCAAAAACAATAACGTGAGCAGGGATTGGGAGGGAAGCCTTCAATAAAAATGTTCCCACCATTTTGCAAAAAAATTAAGCAGTTGAGATAATCACCTATTAAAAAAATAAATATGCAGCAAATCAGCAATTGCCAGAATACACTAATCTCACTACCATGCTAAAAGATTAAGGCTCCTAATCATTAGCCTACCTGGATAGAGTTGAGATAATCAGAATTTCTCAACAAGACCTCTCGTAGACGCTTCTCCCATTGCACCCACTCCTTCGCATATGAGCCTTTGTTCGGTTCCGCCCTAAGTCAAGTAGTTCGGTGTAAGAAAACAAAGACAACCAGCCTCACCTTATGACTTGTTAAGGAAAAAAAAACAGTAATCAGTGTGCAATACAAAATACTAACTGTAGCAATCAGGCTGAACTATAGAATTTTTTAAGACCAGTTAAGAAAATAATAAAATTAAATACAGTTTTGGTTAATCTTGCCTCCGACCAGGGTCAAAATTGCATTTAATTAAAAAAAATAAGAGGTCTTTACTATCTTCCAACATAAAATTTTGTTCAAGAAATTTGCATACTATCCTTGGTGGTAATTGTACAGCCTAAACTATTCACCCCAATATCACCCTTAGATAAACCTAACATTGTTACCTCTTAATACTTACAATAGCAAAACACTTTTTAACCTAAATCCATTGCGCATAAATGACTAACCATACAGAATGCATATCTAATGTACTAAAGCAAGACATTCCAGCTCAATATTTATTGACAACAAACTAAACTACAATGTAATAATAACACTAGCAAGTTTAATCTTAAATAGAAATAATAACTTTATCAATATCAGTAAATTCCATAGCTTCTTGTAGTGGGCTCCAAAAATTTGTGCCCAACCCTTTTTGAGAGTTTATTTTCAGTTCATTTTTTTTAGAGTCATAAAAATATTGTCTAATATATTCATGTTTGAAATTTGTGAAATTATTGTTCAAAGATTTGGTCTTTGTGAATTTCAAAGGAGGAATGATAAACTTAAAATTAAATTTGGAATGGAAGCCAAATGAATGAAACATAGAAGTACTTGATTATGAGAAAATCAAAGGCACTCAAACTATTTTATGTTGGGCTTTATATTTTTAAATCAAATTTTGTTTAAGTTGACAAATTTAATTTAGAATGTTGGGGCTTATATTCGAGCAACATATATTGGAGGAAATGTCCAGAAGGTGATGACTTATGAAGTGATTGAAATCAACAACAGCCTCAGACCCTAGAACTAAGGTGAGGACTACTGAGGGGTAGTACCTCAAACCTATTAGAAAAATTTTGTCATCCTCAATGGATTGCATAATTTGTGAGCGAGCACGACATATGAAATAATATATTATCCCAAAGGTTAAAAATACTATTTTCTTATGAACTCAATAGCAAAATTTATAATTTTAATTTTAACAGAGATTTTTCTTCATTTAATATTTGGTTGAATAGAATTTATTTTATTCTGGGATACAGATAACCCAAAGGGGCAAGCCCTTATAATTAATTACATCTCAAGTTGATGTAGGACTACAATGCTTGCAATGTTTTATTAAGAGCTTGCACAACTTATTGATTAGAGGAATAACAAATAGAACTATTAGCAAATAACACGATGAATCAAAATGTACGAGCGACCACTTTCGTTTAGGCTAAGTTGCATATCAAGAGATTTGAGCCCTCAAAATATCGTAGGAAAATAATATTATGCAAAGTAGTAGCTTTTAACAAAAATCCCTAATCTAACAATAAGATTTAGAAAACAAAGAAGTGCACTCAATTCCCTACGTTTACTAAGCTCGGCAGAATCGGGCAAACGTGTCCTTGATGGCTACAATCAAAGCACAAGAAAGGATTAGACTTAAGAAATACAAAAAAAGGAAAATTAGAAAACCTTCGTCAAGGATCGGTTGGAATCCTCCAATCGACGATCTCAAGTTGCTCTTCAATAGCTTCAACCAAGATGTCCAAGATGCGTTCTATGTAGTCCTCAACCGTATGGACGATCCTCGGGTTGACGTCAAAGAATGTTGAATGGAGAATGTGCAGTAAGCCGTGTTCGACGTAGGCAAGTTCGTAGTCAGTTTCGGGATCGGCCATTCATGAATGCTAGATGACGATTTCTTCTAAAGATTGCTAGTAATCTTGAACTCCGTTGAAGAGAAAGAAGTTTCTCTTCAACTTGACGTGGAGATGATGGAAAGTGGCCGACCAAGGGAGGAGGGAGAATAGGGAGTTTGTTTTAGACTTGAAAGAGGGAAGAGCTTAAAACCTGAAATTAATTTCAGATTTTATCTAGGAAGGGATTTGAAATTTGAAAACAATTCCAAAAGGGAATGAGAGAGAGGAGGGGCGGCGGCAAGGGTTGGGAGGGCATTAATTTAATTCCAAAAGGAGATATTCCCTTTTGGAAATAAATTAAATAGGTGGGCTTAGGGGATTTTGGCTAAAGGAGGTGGGGATGAGATTTAGAATTGTTTCCAAGAGGGGTTAGAAGGTTTTAGGAAATAAATCCCTTTGGGATTTATTAGAAGGGCCGACGGCTTAATGGCAAAGGACGAGATTGGGGAGGGGATTTGGGGTTGCTTAATTTAGGATTTAGGATTTAGGAAATAAATATTAATCCTCATTAATTTGAAAATTTAAAAAGGACTTAATTAATTAACTTTCCTAAAACAGGTTTCTTAAATTAGGAAAGAATTTCAAACTCAAATAATTTTGAATTTTGAAATTAGACCTCCCTAAATTAAGAGCGGATGGTTATGGAAAGTATTCGGGAGGCATTCGCATTGAGGGACGTGGAAGAGGTGAGAGGGGACCAGCGGCTAGGTTGGGCCGTGGGGAATTCTTGGAGGAGGGAGGGGATTTGGTGAAGCCAATGGATAAATGGTTTGTGGTGGTTGGAGAAAGGTGGAGGGTGAGCGTGTGTAGGGTTGGCTGGGGTGAAGATGGCTGGTGGTGGTGGTGGGAGGTTGAAGGGAAGAGATAAATAAGAAAAAACCACAAACCCGACTTGTTAAGGTTGGTGGGTGTTGCGCAATTCTCCCTCTCCTAGGGCTCTCACTCCAATCTCAATCTCTCATGAGAATTCAAACAAAGAGAAACAAAGTTTTCAATTAATCATTCATTCATTAACTTGCAAAGAAGAACAAGGGGGCTATTAATAGCCTCTTACAATGACTCAAACATAAAGGATGACAATGTCCCTAAGGCTTACATACGGCATCCCTTAATAAAAGGGTACAACGGGAAACTAATAAAACAAATACAATACGACATCATAAATACGAAAATACATAAAACAAATCAAAAATACAATGACTCAATCGTGGCAGTAGATTAATGACCATGTCTCTGATAAACCCTCTATGATCTGATGTCCTCACCACAAGTATTTGTTATTTGAGAATTTTTTTTATTAAACTAGAGATTTCTTTTTTTCTTAGAGTCATCAAAATATTGGCTAATATTTCATTTTAAAATTCATGAAATTCTTAATTAAAAATTTGATCTTTAGGCATTTCAAGGATGAATGGATCAACTTTAATCATATTTTTAGAATGAGAGCCAAAATGAAGGAAATGTAGGAGCACTTAATTCTGAGGAAGCTCAAAAGTGCTCCGACTATCCTATATTGAGCTTTATATTTTAAAATCAAATTTTTATTTAAGTAAACATTTTAATTTAGAATGTTGGGGCTTGCATTCCAACAACACATGCTGGAGAAAATGCTCGAAGGTGAGGGCTTATGAAGTAACTGAAATCAACAACAACCTCAGACCCTAAAGCTAAGGTGATGATTACTGAAGGGTAGTGCCTTGATCCTAAGTCTAACGGAGTGCAAAGAGACTTATAAACTACACCTCACCTGAGGCATAGCTAGCCCAACTCTGGATTTATTGCTCTACCTGAAAAAAGCTACCGATTAAACCCATCCGCTTTTAAAATCATGAAATCCAATCTCAATGCATATGAAAAGTGGGGAAGGTTGTTTTGCTTAGAAAGTATGACTTACAAAGGTTTTGAGGCCAAGATGCCTAATTAGACCTCTTGTATAGATGTATAAATAGAGAGTATGTTGTATAATAAAGTTATGCTTTTCCCTCCCATACCTCTCAAATCGATATGGTATCAGAGCCAAGAACCTTCATTGCCGGTGAAGAGCGATCGTAGATAGTCGGAGGAGGAGAAAGAAGAAGAAACCAGAAGCCTACCGCCGAACTGAGCCTTGCCGAAAACGGACGCTGTAGACAGAGCCACGAAGAACAGAGCTTTGCCTATAGATGTCGGACGGAGCCTTGCCGAAGACGGACGCCACAGACAAAGCCCCAAAGAGTGAAGCTTTGTCGACAGATGCTAAAGAGGAGCTTTGCCGAAGCCAGACGCTGCCAACAGTAGCTGCTTTCCCCCTGCGAACATATGGGAGATCTTCTGCCATCCGGAAGACTCGCACGCAGTAGCCTGGTCCCTCCTGGAAAATCTGACCGCAAGACTTCGCCCACCCAGCTCTCGCGGAGCCTCCATGCATACCCTAGCTACTCGATCCAAATACTTCGCCCGGTTAGATTCGCCCTACAAGTATATCAAAGAATTTTTTCTTGGGAAGCCTTCATTGCTATCCAAGGTTATAAATATAACCTTAATTCGACACCATAATGTCAGAAATTAATTCTTCACAGAGAATTGACCAAATTGAGGAGTCTATGGTGCACCAAGGATGAGGTGACATCCAAAGCATGCAACCTTCCTATCGCCTAAATAGGAAGAACTATTTAAAGTGATCTCAATTTGTGAAGACCTATTTAAAGGGGAAAGGAAAAATACACCACCTTCTCGGAGGAGGGCCAAAAGGAGATCCTAAATTTTGGACATGGGATGAAGCAGACTCTATGATTATATCATGGTTGTGGAATTCCATAACTCTAGAAATTAGCGATACATTTATGTTCCTTTCCACTGCAAAGGAAATATGGGATTGCTGCCAGACAGACCTTCTCCAAAGCTCGGGATGCGGCTTAAATCTTTGAAATTAAAGTCAAAGTAGGAAGCACAAAGCAAGGAAGCAAGACTGTGACGGAGTATGCCACCCTTCTACAAAACTTATGACAAAAACTTGATCACTACAGAGGCATAGAAACCAGATGTCTGATCCTAAAGATCTTTATAGAAAAAGATAGAGTTTATGATTTTCTTACAGAACTAAATGCAGAATTTGATCGGGTCAGAGTCCAAATCCTCAATAAAGAGAAGGCGTCATCACTTAATGAAACCATTGCTCTCATCCACACAGAAGAAAGCCGATAGGAGTAATGTTAGAACCAAAGGTTGTTGAAAGTTCAACAATGGTGATGAATAGAGAATCATCATGGAAGTAGAAAGGTAAAGACTCTTCAAAATTCAAAGACAAAGATTCACTTTGGTGCAGTTATTGTAAGAAGTCAAGACAAAAAAAGCGTGCTAGAAAATACATGGAAAACCCTCCAATAAGGTGATGCAATCAAAAATTTGGGAGAGGGACCCAAATTTTTTATCACAAAAAACATGACTTCCTAGATAAAATAAAGACACAAAATGCTCAAAAGGATACAAATAAATCACAAATAACTTCACTTTAATATATAAAAGGCTTACAAACTTTTTATAAGATAAAAGACTATTACAACTTGGACACTTACAAACTTGACTCTTACAAACGACACAAACAAAAACACCTAAACTTGCTTTCCAAGCGAAGAAGGATACAGGTGGAATGAAACTTGCGGAGAGACGAAAGAGGTTAGAAACCCGAGAAGAAATAGGAGAAGCTCGCAAGCTTTCCTAGAGGAGAAGGAGAATGGAACAAGCTCGCAAACTTTTTCACGAAGAAACCCACAGGTTCTATCCAAAAATTACTCACATCACATACATAAAATAGCCACAAAACATCTTATATTTATAGACAAGAGAGGGGAATACAAACAGCCCCAAACTCTTCAAATTCTTAAATAAACGAGGGAAATGAAAAGCCAACAGCCACCTAATAATATTCTCTAATTCTGCACAAGAAACAAAGCACCAAAGCCATGGAAAAAGCCCCCAACAGCCATGGGAAAACAGCCCAGGCGGAACCCGAAGAGGCAGCCGCAAGAACCAAGGAGGCAGCCGTGGGAACCAAGGAGGTAGCCGTGGAAACCAAGGAGCCAAGACACGTGAACCCAAGAGCCAGCCGAAAATCCAAGGGGCATTGCACGGGAAAAGAAAAGGGGGAAAAGGAAGAGACAAGTTCACATAATAATAATTAATAAATGAACTAAAAACATAGCTCATAATGAGCTAACTCTTAGTTCAATAAATGAACTAAAAACTAGCTCATAATGAGCTAAATCTCAACTCAAAAATTAATGAGCTAGCAAGCTCAAGGGAAGTCAAAACCAAATTTTTTTGGGTTTGGTTTGACCCCCCTTTGTCTATATCATAAGGAGTGGAATCAAAAAAGTGAAATAAGGAGCACATCGCACGCCAACAACACAACAAGTCAGCCCAACCTAGAAGCACAGTCCAGCCTCGGTGAACTCAATAAAGAAGATATTGATAAACTGAAATGACTCCTGTTATCTCTTGAAAAATCAAATGCACCTTCCTCACTTGCACTCTCAGATAAGTTTCCAACATTCTTAGAAAAGAAGCTTGACTACAGAAGCCTCTACACTTCAAGCCTCAATTTGAGCACAACAAAGACATAAATAGACCACATCATCCTAAAGGTAAAACTAAACCTTTTGTGTTTCGTAACCATGATATAAAATGTTTTAAATGTCAAGGCAGGGGCCAAATTGCTAGTCAATGTCCAAGCAAGCGTCTCATGGTAATGAGAACGATGGAGAAGTGGAGACCGGCGAAGAAAATGAACACAGAACTAAATCCTGTTGAACTGCTAGAAGGCGAGAAGGAATTTGTTGTCCAAGGAGATTTGTTGGTGGCAAGAAGAGCTCTTAATGTGCAAACCAAAGCAATGGAGGAAACAACAAGAAAAACCTTTTCTACACAAGGTGCTTTATCAAGGATAAGGTATGTAATTTAATTATTGAGGATGATAGTTGTACTAATGTAGTTAGCACTACGATGGTCACAAAATTGGGTTTATCCACACTTAAACATCCTAAACCATATAAATTGCAATGGTTAAGTGACAGTGAAGAAGTTAAGGTAAATAAACAAGTGTTAGTTGCTTTTAAAATTGGAAAATATGAAGATAAAGATTAATGCGATGTCGTTCCTATGCAAACAGGACATATACTTCTAGGTCGTCCATGGCAATTTGATAGAAAAAATTTGCATGATGATTCTTCTAATAAATATTCATTTATGCTTAACCAACGACCTATTGCTCTTGTGCCATTAACTCTTCAACAAGTTGCTAAGGATCAATTGAAGGTCAAACAAGAACATGATAGCAAAAAAAGGGAATTCACTTCAGCTTTGAAATAAAAGCATGAAGAAAAATCATCCATTCTTGCCAATACAAGTGAAAGCAAACAAGCCTTATACCTCCGACAATCCCTCGTATTGCTTATGTATAAAGAAACTTATTTGTGCACTAACAATTTGGCTAGAAATCTTCCGAGCAACATTATTTATCTTTTGCAAGATTATGGAGGCGTGTTCCCTGAAGAGACACCTTCCGGTCTACCACCAATTCGAGGAATTGAGCACAAAATCGACTTTATACCTGGAGTCAGTCTTCCCAAACAACATGCTTATAGAAGCAACCCTGAGGAATCAATAATATCATGGGCATACAAGTGGATGAGGAAAAGATTCCGATTTGAGCACAAATCCTTCTCAAGAGGAAGAGAATGATAGATATCAAGCTAACGGTCAAGGATGTCCCATTCAAATTACCGTTGGTTATCCTACACGCGCACCAAGTCACAAAGGCAGAGAAGAAATTAGCGGGCTGCTTACCCAACTTTGAGCCCACGAAGAACTAAAGAGACCCGTTAATGAGAGTCTTGCCAGGACATCAAGCATTAATCTCCTCCAAATGATTAATTAGTGCTTTAATAGAGTTATTTTAGTTATTTATGTCTTATTTCTGCATTTTGAATAGTTGGAGTTTTATGTAAATTGCAATAAATTTGCCAATTTAAAGGCATTAGAAATGATAACTAGACAGATTTTGGTGGATCAATTCAGTGAATTGTTTTTCTAAGTGCTGTTGCCCTTTGGGGCCCCTCTTAGAGTCTCCAAGAACCTCCCTCCCTTCTTCCAGGTCTCATCCGAGACATTCTTACCCCCTTCCCTCTTAGCTGCAGGTCTGTCTTGGAGAATTCAAGGCCTACAGAACTCCTTCCAGCCATCCAGCCCAACCACCTTCCTTCTCACTATCCCCTTGCCACTGTCCAAAACCAGCAGCTAGCTACCAGGATTCAGACAGCCATCCTCCAGCTCCAAGAACTTCTTCAGGCCTCAAATGGGCCTTCATTTTCCAGTTGCCAGCCCCAAATTTCCTCCAGCTATCAGCCGCAGGTTCTGCCCTTGGAGTTTCCAAGAACCGCACCTACTCTTGCCCTCCATCTCTCAACCATCCAGCCCTTCCCCAAGATCCAATAATGGGAGTAACACAGAGCAGGCGAACAACCAAAAGTGTGCAAATAGGGAGTTCGTGGGCTTTTTTTGTTTCAAATTCCTAAAATAACATTTTTAAATATTTGTCAATTGAGGCAATATTATTACTTTCACTAGGTTGAGACCATAAGTCTTGGATCATTTGCATCAGTGCTATCATCATCTAAGTGAGAACATTGGTATCAATAGTAACATTTGGTGGTAGTCCACCTTTCCCCGTATTTCCATCTCCTCCTCTTGATTATCTATAAGCCTAAGAAATAGAAATATTACTTAATTAGAGTTTAGATAATGTCTAAACAAACCTGTTAAATCTCATTAATCATTTTAAAGTTTGACCGTAATTAGAATTGCAAAGTTAAACTTTTACTCTAATATCAATTTTTTCATGACCTAGCTCGAAAGTTTGGAGTACCAAGCTGGTTCCTAAAATAGAGTAGAGGAGATAGAGGAAAACTGAGAGAGAGAGAGAGAGAGAGAGAGAGAGTCAATAGGGAGAAACAAAGTGAGAGACGTAGAGGGAAATTGGGAAAGACAAGCAAGAGTTAGTATGAGATAGAGAAAGTGAGTGAGCGAGCCAAAAACAAAGAGTGATTAAGCGAGCATGAAAGGTAGAGCCAAACACCAAGATTGTTATTAACAGATTTGGATACTTTAGACAGTTGCTAATGGATGACCAATGCACTCCCCAATATTTTCTCTATATATCAAACAAACATATTTTTATATTTACATATAAGCTAAAAAGCAATCGTACCTAGCAAAATCTTGGCTATAACTTTACGGCCTTTTAAAATTAAACATTCTTAACCAAATGACCACATCAATACCTTCCATGCCTGCTTGTGTGAAGCCCATAGAGATTTAACCCTTCCTCAAGTATAATCCTCAAAGAATCAGGTAGAGGTGACCTGCAAGCAATAAGAAACCAAGCTTGATTCCATTAGCTGATGCCGGCAAAAATAGAAGAAACTTCGGAAATCTTCATGCATGTGAAGCAATATTCATTTCTACTAAAGATGCCTTCTGGTACACTACTTTAAAGGAACTATTACTTCAAATACAAAAGTTTTATTGACCCCGTAGATTTTATTTTCAAAGGATTAGAGATTAACGGAAGAATTTGACATTGCTTAAGATAAGAAAGAAATGCGCTCAGTTACTGTTAGCTGAACGGTACTGTAAAACCAAGGTGAAGGAAAGCATGGTAAAGTCAAGTTAGAAGAATCAATAGACTTCAAGGCTTTTGTTCCAAACTCAATGTAAATAGCACAACGGTACACTACACGTTAAAATTTCAGTCCTTAGATACATGATGCCTGTAAATTGAAACAGATGCAGATTTACCAAACAAGAAGACTAACTACTTTCTCATCAACCTTAAATTTTTTTTTTTCAGTTGGTACATTTATATAATTCAAATAAATGAAATAATACAAAAATGGACTTGGCACTAAAAGATGCAAAAAATTAAGGTTTTAGGTCTGAAGAAAATACCTATTAAGATTTGAAAAGTTTTAAGGGTTGTAGTGATTTAATTAATAAGGCAACAAAATTTTAGAGAGTAAGAGGAACCCAAATGATTGAAGAAATATTACTTTTATACCAATATTTAAGATCAAAAAAGTTATTCAAATTGTGCTAAATATAAATGAATCAAATTTAGGAATCAAACAAAAAAGCTTACGGAAGAGAGTAAATCAGGCATATATATATATATATATATATATATCAATGGCATGCTAAAATTACTAAAGATATATATGATAAAGCAACAACTAATATTTGAAGTAGATGTGAAGTGACAAAAAAGTTCTCAATTATAATATAATTACATTCAAAAGCAATATCGGAGTTTATATATGTTAGTTATTCAAAGTGTGGTGTCATGATGTATGTTTTTTTACTGATGACAGAATTCTAATTAGTGAGATATCGACTAAAACAAATAAAAAATGATAATAAAGAAAAATGTTTAGAAGATAGAGATATTTAAAGTAATAAACAAATATTGAATTTATGATATAAAATTTTAGAGTGTGATATTGAAAATTGCAAATCAAAAATTTTTTTTAAAATAAAATTTTATTAACAATCAATGAAAAGAGTGCAACAAGCATAAATTGCTATATATATATATATACACACACACACGCTCCTCTGGGCATAACAAATTTGAAACATTTTATCCACTAGTTCTTCCGTACTAAAATTTCAAGTGTGATTGAGAATCTGAAATACCAGCATTCCCAACAATAGGATGATGATTATAAGTAAATTCCATTAAGAGATTTGGAGTAATGATCTTGTGTGCAGATGTGGTGTTGAACACCACCATTGGACAAACAACCAAGGAAACCTCAAAATCAAAGAGGATCTAAAATTAATTCAAATTTTTGTGTACAAACTAGACTAAAAAGAGATGGAATTGCAGCCAATACATTAGTGGTTCGGTTTTATCAATTGAATGTTCCTAGCTAACCTGATTAGTAAAGGATTTTCCTAGTTTTTGGGCGTTCCTAAAACATGCTGAAAAGTTATGGCAAAAAGTTTTGCAAGAGAAAAAATAAGAAGGAATGTACTCATATTTCTACCTTCTGCTAAAAGTGCCAAATAGTGAAACCAATTCAAAACTCCTCCAAAGGGATAGCAATGCCCATTTCAACCAGGACCTTAGTCGCTAACGATTTAGATAGCTTATAGTTGTAACACATCCACTTAAAGCAGTTCATAAAAAATTGAACATGTGAAAATAGAGTCAAGTTGGTTGAAATTATAAATCATGAGTTGGGGAAGGCAACCAAAACTAAAGCAACAGGATACTGTTTCGAATAATCAAAGTAAGGGGACCACCGAATCTCCTAGAGAGCAATCTTTAGTAATTAGTATCTTGCGCTAATTTGTGAGAAAGCGGTGAGAGTCAATAAGCCTAATTAAAATTTTCCATGCTCATCTTAAATCGACCATGAATCTAAATCTCCAAATTGGGCGGACCTAAGAAAACTTGCTTAACAAAGGTGAAAAGAAAGATATCAACACAAAAAGATCATATCATCAGAAAAAATGCGTGCAAATTTACTATGATAGGATAAGGGAAACTCTTGAATAGTTGGTGCACGACCTTGCTGAAAATATATAAGGAATAAAGAGGATGGAGTAAGTTGAAGACCAGGAACCCTTCTACCCTCTAACAAGTCCAAATGTGAGCAAAGAGCACAAGTTGAGGAAATTTTCACATAGTCGGAATCCTAGGAGTAGGAGCGGCCATAGGAGTAGTTTGCTAAATAGTTGGAGTGGTTACTACGGAATGACTTGGAACTGGCAGAGGCGAGAAAGCATGACGTCTGACATAAGATGTTGAATGAAAATTAACAAGCGACAAATCAAACCGAAGCAGCAAAAAGCGCCACCTTAAGTGCCAATGCCAAAGATGAAATAAGCTTAATGTCAATGCATGGAAGCAATAAAGCCCATTAGTAGGTCACAAAATTGCAACCATAGCAAGAAGATTTGAAGAACTACTGTCAGGAGCACCAAGGAGGGGTCTACATATCGTTAAACCAGCACAAGTGTGCTCGCACATAGGCATGAGGAAAGATGATAGCAAATCGAGGCATGCAAAACATGAGCTATTCCTTGTTAGGGAGATCCAAATGGAGTACAAGCACACTCATGGGCGAGCAAGAGAATGACGAATAGCTAGGCCAATGCAAGAAAGTCTCAGAAAGGGGAGTGAGGCAAGTTGGATGGAGTGAGAAAAGGATTAAATTGAGCAATTTCCTCCATTGGAAAGGAACTTTTGTTGAAACAATTATCAATCAATAATATTAGAAGATAAAATAATACTTATGTTTGAAAGATTTAAGTATCTTAGATCTATTATATATAAAATGGAGATATAAATGAAGATATAAACATGAAAATTTGAACACAAATTTTCTAAAAATGTACTTAGGTCAACAATGTTGTATAGATCGAGTTTTAGATGGCAAAAAAGTCATTGATAACTAATGTGGAAGTAACTAGAATGCTAAAATAGATGTATGGCATAAAATGACGGCCTTTCGATGACCCGATTAGGAAAGTAGATGTATTAGATTTGACTTATATTAAGAAAGGTAGATGTAGACCTAAAAAGACTTTGTTAGAAAATATTAGAAATAATCTTTCTTTATTAGATTTAAACGAGAATTTAACTTTTAACATAACACAATGGAGAAAAAAGATTTATGTGGCCGACCCCAAGTAGTGGGACAAAGGCTTATTGTTGTTGTTATTGTTGCTGTTGTTGTTGCTACTGCAGAACTTGAATAGATAAATTATAAAAATTATATTAGAAAAATTATTTAAGTAACATCTATCAAAAATAAGAAATTTACAATAGACATGGGTGATTTAAACATGCATAACAAATGGCTGAAATTGCACCATTATACAAGTAGATAAAATTAACATCAACGGATTTAAAAGAAGGGGTATGCTTTAGCTAACAAGGATAAAATTCGCTAAAAATCAATTTTGAACAACATAATCAACACCTTATACAATACACTATAGGAACAAATGAAAAATGAAGATTCACAAACCCAAGCCCACGTAGTTGGGATAAAGCTAATGATAGTGATTATAATGATGATGATGATGATGATCTCATAATAGAGAAAAAGCTTAAAATAATCTCCAACTGTTTATAGGTGGTCAATCTAATCCCAAAATATTACATTTCTCAAATTTAATCCCTCAACAAAACAAAATTGATCACAGATAGTCCCTCAGGTAGAAATTGATGGAAATTGAGATACAAAATAGATCTCAATTTAGTCCATCACCTATGCAAAACTAATCCCAATTTAGTCCTTAAATGACCATTTGGAATCAATTTTGTATAGTCGATGGACTAAATTGAAGAAAAGTGATAATATGGATTAAATTTGTAACTTATGAATAGACAGGATAAAATTGATAGCATGTGAATCTATGATGCACCGACACTTCTCCTCAAAGAGGCGTGTAGTATTCGACATGAATCCGACACGACACGCGTCTGACACTCCTCCGACACATGTCGGACACGCCGAAAACGTGTCCGGTTAAAAAATATTAAATAAAAATTGAACACATGTGCCCGACACGTATTTTAAATATTTTATGAATTTTTTTAAACATGTATCTTAAATACAAATTTGATGGTCGATGCTAGCAATTTCTACACCCACAACTTGACTTCTCATCTTTGTCAACCACCTTCTCAACATCAACAACCAATGCCCTCTCAACATCGACGATAAATGTCCTCTTAACATTGACGTCCAATATTTATTGCATAACATCAATGCCTGACTCTCGACAACATTATCATCTCCTCTCTCGATGACTGATAAACGTCATTGATGCCCAACTCTCGATATCCTAATATTAATCATTTTAAGCTCAAATTCTAGTTAAATGACTTATTATTTCTAAATTATCTTTAAAATTACACTTATTTAATTTTTATACAATATTTTTAAAATATAAAACTATAATACCGTGTCCAACTCGTGTCCATGTCCTATATTTTCAATAATTGACGTGTCCCATGTCCGTGTCGTGTCATGTCGTGTCCTTATCGCTGTGTCCCTACCTGTGCATCATAGATGTGAATGGTCGGGAAACTAGTTTGAGCTTTAACCCTATACACAATAATGAAGGAATTGTTTCTGCAGGAGCCCATAACAGCAGCGAAGAACCTTTACCTGTCAATTTTCAGCAAAGGCATCTTCACAAGAGCACCAAATCGTTCGATCAGTTCACTCTCAAATTCTTTTCGGTTCTGGAAAAGCAACACAAAGCATATAATGACAGGAAAAGAACTCTTTTTTAAGAGCAAAATTACATTAAAAAAAGATGCAACATGCCTTGCCATTATAAAGGTGATAAAACATAAGCAGTACAAAACCAGCATTTGGAGATGACTTGTCCAGATTTCCCTTCAAAAGAATCCAAAATAGCTGTGTAAGAATACAAAGCAGCACAATCTAACAAGCAATTTTTTAAAGCGGCAGACAACATGTTAAAAGAATTGCAACTACCGGGTGATTAACTCGTTGGAGCACACGAAAAATGAAAACAGCAAGTGCATCGAGAGAAAAGGGATTTGAATCGGTTCCTGCACAATTAAATGTAACTCTTTGCTAAAGCAACCAAGTAGAAAGCCACATATGAAATACCAACGTGATATAGGATAATAATTTACACTTTACCAGAATCAATTTCCAAACAAGAATATGAAGGAGATCTAGTTCACAACCCCAAAAGAAATTTAAGGCCAATGAAGATTATCAGTAAACAATAAAATAAATAAGAATGCAGAAACAAACGCAAGCATCAGCATAAGAGTTCAGCTAACAGTACGTAAACAAAAGGAATAAAATAGATAACGCATTTTTAAACAATGAGAACCCTATAATGGGTTAAGGCAAGACCATTAAGAACATGGTCAAGGAGACATTCCACATCGAGGTAAGACAAATGCATTATGAAGAAGGCATGTGGAAATAACCAAGCTTAAGAATAGAACTCTAGTGATCAGACAAAAAGCAAAATTACAGTAGGCGAGTAAGATCCGGTTTGAAGTCATGTTTTGAAAGAATATGAAGTTTGTTAAGTCCATCATTTGATTGGTTGTGGTTACAAACTCAAAAAACAAAACTGCCTTGGATGTGATGCTTTTGTTTTCACACTTAAAAAAGAGTGAAAACAAAAATCCAGATTTCTAAAACATATTTTCTGTTCACAAGCAGCCAAATAAGTCATAAGTATGACCAAAACTAAAAAATAAGAAGTTTACTATGATAAATGACGAGAATTAAAGAGAATAGATTAAGTATTTATCCTAACACTTGTGAAGAATTTATAGAATCCTACGAGAGCTTCTACTAAAAATCATAGAAAATCAAAAATTAATAATTACAATAGTTCATGAATTGATGTATTTTACTAAGCTTCAAAATAGACAGTGGGATAAAAGCTTGATATTGTTGTTGTTCAAAATAGATAGTGGGAATTCGGGGGATTAATATAAGCGGCGTATTCCTTTATCACACTTTCTAAAGTTGATTAAATTAAATATGATGCAAATGACAACTTGTAGATGCGACTTCTCATGAGATCAGCTTAAAAAGTTTTGATCACAATCATAACTATTCCTTTGTCTCACATTTTGTGAAGCGTTTAGAATACTAAAATTACCAAGAAAGGACTCTAATCGTTCAAGTCATCACACGAGGCAAAGAAGAATTTTGTAAAAAAATGAGGAACAAAATAAAATTAATTTATTGGTAGACAAGAACTCTTTGCAAGATAGACTAACAAATTTATCCACGACAAGGCTGGGTGTAAAATTAAAATTTACAAGGAGAAAATAAAAATTAAATCCTCGAATAATTAAAGTTTGCAAGGAAAATTCAATTCGTTTCTAATAAAAAACATATAAAATTAAGGAATAATAATTATATTAGTCCATAAATTGATGAGCAGGTAGAATAATAATTACAAAATATTACAATAGACAATGGATTAATGAGTAGGCAGCATGAATCCCACAAAAACAAAGAGGTGCGGTAGAAGAGGAAAAAAAGAGGGCAAAATTGTTGGTGTGCATGGGTCCTAACTGATGAAAATTATGAAAGTGGTTCACAATAAATAACAAAACATGTAAGGAAATGAGGGAACAATTTCCAAAATCATTGCATGCTTTAAGATACACAATAAAAGATGATTGAGAGTGGTAGAAACATTATTGTGTATGATTACAAACATAAATGATTCCACACAAGATATAAAAATTAGAACTTATTTTAATTATTTTATTTCAAATTAAGATTATAAATTTATTCTATTTATTTATGTTAAATTATACTTTTAGATAATTTTAGCATAAATTTGATTTTGATCTTATATATAACTGTTGGATCAAGAAAAACAACGTGTCGGCATGAATCCAACTTTGTAGACATAAGATTTCATTTCCCTTAAGTCAGATTGTAGTTAACTCGATTTCTCATGAAAGTAGTATCAGGATTTTCCCATTAGTACAAGAGCTCATAGTTAATTACCCCTCTAAACGTGTAAGAGAGAACTCGCAATTAAGGATGAATACATTTTAGGTGTTTTAGTCTCAATTGTGGGGGAAAATTGGAGGTAAACAAGATCAAGATTTCATGGTTCCGTCGTCCTAGGTATACCGTAGGTTTTAGTCTACCAACACTAATAACCGTTGATTGTAGTGTCCGAGGAATCTGATTAGCAGCCATGGGTTATCTTCTCTCGGGGATCCCAAGTAAATTGAAATGGTTAGATGAAAGTTGATTTGATTTATATTTGAAAAATGGTGGTTTGAGGTTTACATTCATTGGAATACCCAGAAGTATTTCAGTTTGGGATTTGTAACTTCGTTCAGAAGTTACCCAGAAATTTGAATTGAAGCGGGTCTTACGACTTCTTCATAGAAGTAGCCTGGGTGTTTGAATTTGGTTCGGGACTTAAAGGCTTTCATTGAAAGTAGCCCGTAAAGTAGATCTTACGACTTCTATTAGAAGTGACCTACTAGTGGGTCTTACAATCTAACCCTATATGCTAAGCTGGCCATTAGTTTTGTTTGTCTGGGTTTTAAGATATTGCAATTTATTTAGCAATTTCCCTCACATGTGAGTCTTCCGACCATAGTTGTCAATGGCGCAAAATAGCGCACAACGCACCTACGGCGCCATGTTCATGGCGAGGCGCATGTATTTAAAATAGCACGCGCTATTTGCACCACATGTGAGCCAGGCGCACGGCTCAAAATAGCACGCCAAATTGTTTTTAAATTTCATTATACTTATGAATATTTTTTTACAAGAATTTACAACTTAACATGTATGATTTTTATTGATTGCTACTTGAAGTGTTTCACTAGCAACAATGGTTTAGAGGCGTCCACCTCTTAAAATGAAAAAAAAAACTAAAAAAAAAAAACTCGGTACCGCTAGGTACAAGCTCGGTACCGCTAAGTGCATGCTCGGTACCGCTAGGTGCATGCTCGGTACCGCTATGTACATGCTCGGTACCGCTCGGTACATGCTTGGTACCGCTAGGTGCATGCTCGGTACCGCTATGTACATGCTCAGTACCGCAAGGTATCTTTCTATACAAATGACTTACGAACTTTAAAAATAAGCAAAACTTCAAAATTACTCTTACAAATAAAATTTGTTCCCCGCCAGGGGGAGCGCCTTGGACGCCCGGCAGCCCGGCATATTGTTGTATTCATCATCTTTAGTAATAGTTGTTAGTGTTAGTCTGCTTCTTCATGAGTGCATGCTTTGTATAAGTTTTCTTCATGAGTGCATGCATTGATTGGGAGACATTGGGCTCTATAGGAGAGGAGGAAGGGATGAGGACTTTAAATGTGAATTCTTGTCTCTTGGATAGCTTGTCTTTCATTTTTAATGATATTTCATATTCATACTTATTATTTTATAATTCTTATATAGTTTGCACCATGTTCAAAATGGCGCGCGCAGCGCCGTGCATGGCTACAAAGGGACCTTTGCGCCATAGTGCGTCATTCGCTATTAACAGGTATGCTTCCGACTTCTCTAAGAAGTTGCCCGTTTGCGGGTCGTACAACCTAGCCCTACAAGCTAAGCTACCCACTAGTTTTGGTTCAAGATTTCATGTTTTGTCAAGCAATTCCACAAAGAATAGGTCTTTGATTTTCCTTAGAAATTGCCTAATTATTTGGGTAGAGCGGGTCTTAGTACTTCCCTTTGGAAGTAGCCTAATAGTGAGTCTTACAACCTAATCTTATAGGCTAAGCTAACCATGGATTTTGTTTGTTTGGGTTTTAGGGTCTTACAATTTATTTAGCAATTTCCCTCACGTGTGGGGCTTACGACTTCACTTAAAAGTTACCCATTGGCAAGTCTTACAACTTAGCCCTATAGGTTGAGCTGCCCAATTTGAAGGTTTGATATATCATTTAGAAAATTTTTAAATAATAAGTCTCATAACTCCTATTAGAAATGGTCTTGTTATTTGAGTATAATGAGTCCTACAACTTTCCTTTGAAAGTAGCTCCATGATGGGTCTTACAACCTAGCCCTATAGGCTAAACTGTCCGTTGATTTTGATTGACAGGTCTTACGACTCCCTTAGAAGCCTGTAGATTTGGTAGGACTTACTGCTTCTCTTTGGAAGTAGCCTGGTTATTTTGGGTAGATTGGATTGTACCCGTAAATACTTTAGCTTGTAGTTATTTGCTAACTTGAGACAAGATCTTAGGTTTTAGTTGTTTACTACTCCAACAATAGTAATTTTGTACAATAGTTTCTTTTCCAGCTTTTTGAAGTTTAGTATTTTACCTTGCTTTTCTTGCACTTTAGTTTTTCAGTACCTTGTTTTTCCTTCTTGCACCAATGCTCTACTCTTTTTCTTTTAATATTGTAGTTTAGTACAACACTTGTTCTTTTCTTGCCTTAGCAATTTAATTTCAATGCTAATGAGTTTTATTTGCTTGTTTGCAGGAGCTCGTGTTACTTTGGAGCTCGCATAAGAGAGATTTTGGAGATCTTGGAGGAGCAATAGAGAGCATGCAGAGAAGCATTGGAGAGCATGCAAAGAAGCATTGGAGAGCTTGCAAAGGAGCATTAGATATGCTTTTCTTATTTGAGTCGTAAATTTAAGAGTGGTTTTAGTGTAGCATATAGTTTATGGCTAATTAGTGGAAAAATATTATTTCTTTTTCTACATTCAAAATAAAACTAACTAGAGTGGCTCTCTTTATTTTAATTGATTAATTAATTAAAATTTTTATTTTAATCAATCAATTAATTAAATTTAAATTTTATTGTTCTTGGATTTTAAGTGCTCCTGAATTTTTAAATTTGCTATCAAACAATTAATTAACAAATTAGTTATTTTTTTCTTGGATAATTAATTAAGCAATTAATTAATTTTGATAAATTAGTCTTAATTAACCAACTAATTTTAATCAATTAATTACAATTAATAAATCAGAATTACATAACTAGTTTTAAACAATTAATTAACCGATTAATTTAGATTAATTAATTTTAATAAATAAATTTCCATTAAGCAGTTAATTAATTTAACTAATTAATTATT